GATCAGGATGGTAAGGCATCAGGATATCCAGGCTAGAAATAATACCAGGAGGAAGCTGGAGGGTTATGGAGTATTTGTTTCCAGCTCCTGGTAAGATTGTTCCTCCCACAGCCTTACCACTGGAAAACATCTCGGAATCCAAACCAAAGCAAGAGGTTATAAATGAACTGATAAAGCTCACCTTCTCCCTAGAGTTCACCTGGACAAATATCCACGTGCCTCACCTCTCTGTTTACCTTGAAAGTGAAAGTGAAGTCGCTCAGTCGTGTCCGACTCTTTGCAACCCCATGGACTGTAGCCTACCAGGCTCCTCCGTCCATGGGATTTTCCAGGCAAGAGTACTGAAGTGGGGTGCCATTTCCTTCTCCAGGGGATCTTCCCGACGCAGGGAGTTCCTATGGAACTCCCATCAAACTCTTTTTTCTCAAATAATTCTCTTAGTGTTTCCTACTCCGTGCTTCCCAGTAGCCTCTGTGAATATACTGCTGCCTCTGATCCTTTCCAAGTGAGTATTTTTTCCCATATTCAACATATCACAATGTCTGGAGATGGTATAAGTATCCTTGTTCTTCATTCTCATGTAAAAACCAATTCCCCTCCCTGTGCCAACAAAAATTCAGCTCTTTAAAGAGCACACCATTAGACTCCAAAGTCCATTAACTTTATTTTACAAACATCCACCAACCTCCCATCTCCCACCCTCGTTCTCCGAAGATCGGAAGCCTTGGATTTTCTATGTTCCTTTTTAGCACAACTGTTGTCATCGCTCTTGGTGATTCCACAACCAAACCAAGAGCCAACCAATTTACATTCCTACCAACAGTGTAGGAAGTTTCCCTTTTCTCCACCTCCTTCTCAGCATTTATTTTCTGTAACCTTTTTACATACCACACATACATGGCCTTTCTGACCAATGTGAGGTGATGCTTCACTGTAGTTTTTCTCTAGTAATTAGTGATATTGAGTATATTTTCATATGCCCACTGGCCATCTAAAAACAGTGTTTTTAAAAAGATCAATTCAGTTGCTGTGTTAAGTAAAGCCAGTAAACTAGGGGATGGAGTGTCAACAATGGATAGAAACAGGAGCAGAGAGATGAGTTAGGATATGTCGACTTAAAAAATATTCACAACCTAAAAGTTGAGAGTTTTGTTTTATTCAGTGGGAATTCTTAGGACTTCAAGCAGAAGACAGCATCTCAAGTAACCGTGAGAGAACTGCTTCAAGGAGGCAAGGGGACCAGGTTATATAGAAGTTTTGCAACAAAGAGCAGGCAGTCTGAACATCAAAAGATCTGTTGTTGTTGTGTTCCTGTTGTCCTTCAGTAGCTAAATTGAGTCCAACTCTTGCAACCAAAGCTCCTCTGTCCTCCACTTTTCCCTGGAGTTTGCTCAAATTTATGTCTTATTGAGTCGATGATGTTTTCCAACCAACATATCCTCTGCCACCTCCTTTTCCTTTTCAAAAGATTATTGTTAATTAAAGAAAACCAGATATCTTAAGTTAAGGAATTTATTAGCACTTTTCTATGTATGGAAGGATGCAAGAGTCTGGACTCACTGAAATCATTCCTTTCATATGAACCTTAGCTATCTGGGGCCAGTGTCCTGTGTTTTCACATCCTGAACTTCCTTTCCTCAGGACTCACCATAGAGAGTGGTTGTAGTCTGGTGGCTGTTAGACAGCAGGTATTCTCCTTCTTGGGTTCTCTTAGGGCTCACCAGCTCACATTGGAGGGCTGCAATCGCTGATAATGGTGACATCCTTGCTTACTGATATGGCAGGAAAGATTCCATTTCTCATTACTGACTCAATGGACACAAATTGGACCAAACTCTGGGAGATAGTGGAGGACAGAAGAGCCTGATTTGCTGCAGTCCATGAGGTCACAAAGAGTCTGATGTGACTTAGCAACTGAACAACAACAACAATTCCATTTCCCAGATGCCATTGCAGAAGAGGAATGATAATAACTAGGACCAAAGTTGCAGCCCAGTAGAAGGGAGACATTATCTGATTCCACATATATTTTGAAGGCACTTGATGATGTGTAGTGTGAAAAAGAAAAAGAACACAGGATGATTCTAATTCTGTTGACCGTGATAACTAGAAGAATAGAAATACCCTTCCCTAAATATTCAAGGGCAATGGTATGGACCTAACAGAAGCAGAAGATATTAAGAAGAGGTGGCAAGAATACACAGAACTGTACAAAAAAGGTCTTGGTGACCCAGATAACCACAATGATGTTATCACTCACCTAGAGCCAGACATCCTGGAATGCAAAGTCAAGTGGGCCTTAGGAAGCATCACTACGAACAAAGCTAGTGGAGGCGATGAAATTCCAGTTGAGCTATTTCAAATCCTAAAAGATGATGCTGTGAAAGCGTTACACTCAATATGCCAGCAAATTTGGAAAACTCAGCAGTTGCCACAGGACTGGAAAAGGTCAGTTTTCATTCCAATCCCATAGAAAGGCAATGCTAAAGAATGTTCAAACTACTGCACAACTGCACTCATCTCACATGATAGCAAAATAATGCTCAAAATTCTCCAAGCCAGGCTAAAACAGTAAGTGAAACATAAACTTCAACAAATACAAGCTGGATTTAGAAAAGGCAGAGGAACCAGAGATCAAATTTTCAACATCTGTTAGATCATTGAAAAAGCAAGAGTTCCAGAAAATCACCTACCTCTGCTTTATTGATTATGCAAAGCCTTTGACTGTGTGGATCACAACAAACTGTGGAAAATTCTTCAAGAGATGGGAATACCAGACCACCTGACCTGCCTCCTGAGAAATCTGTATGCAAGTCAAGAAGCAACAGTTAGAACTGGAAATGGAACAGACTGGTTCCAAATTGTGAAAGGAGTATGTCAAGACTGTATATTGTCACTCTGTTTATTTAACTTAAATGCAGAGTACATCATGTGAAATGCCAGGCTGGATGAAGCACAAGCTGGAATCAAGATTGCCAGGAGAAATATCAATAACCTCAGATATGCAGATGACATCACTCTTATGGCAAAAAAGTGAAGAGGAACTGAAAAGCCTCTTGATGAAAGTGAAAGAGGAGAGTGAAAAGCTGTCTTAAACTCAACATTCAAACAACTAAGATCATGGCATCCAGTCCCACCATTTCATGGCAAATAGATGGGGAAACAATGGAAACAATAAGAGACTTTATTTTGTGGGGCTCCAAAATCACTGCAGATGGCGACTGCAGCCATGAAATTAAAAGATGCTTGTTCCTTGGAAGAAAAGCTATGACCAACCTAGACAGCATATTAAAAAGCAGAGACATTACTTTGCCAACAAAGATCCATCTAGTCAAAGCTATGGTTTTTCCAGTAGTCACGTATGGATGTGACAGTTGAGACTATAAAGAAAGCTGGGTGCTGAAGAATTGATGCTTTTGAACTGTGGTGTTGGAGAAGACTTCTGAGAGTCCCCTAGACTGCAAAGAAATCCAACCAGTCAATCTTAAAGGAAATCAGTCCTAAATATTCATTGGAAGGACTGATGCTAAAGCTGAAACTCCAATACTTTGGCCACCTGATGCGAAGAACAGACTCATTGGGAAAGACTCTGATGCTGGGAAAGATTGAAGGCATGAGGAGAAGGGGATGATAGAGGATGAGATGGTTGGATGGCATTACCAATTCAGTGGACATGAGTTTCAGCAAGGTCTGGATGTTGGTGATGGATAGGGAAGCCTGGCCTGCCGCAGTCCATGGGGTCGCAAAGAGTTGGACACAATTGGGTGACTGAACTGAACTGAAACATTCAAGTGCATGGCCTCAACTTTGCCACTAATAATCTAAATAATTTTAGACAAACTATTGCCCTTCCCTGATCCTCACTCTTATCATTTGTATAATGAGAGATTTAAACTAAATTAGAAGTCCTCCTACTGTGTTTGGTGCACGTGCCTCAGTAGGCTGTTCAAGAGATGGAAGGAAAGTCAGGCAAACTGAATTGTGGACTTTGTATATTAAGGGTATGCTCCCTAGCAGTCCAGTGGTCAGGACTCCATGCTCTCACTGTAGAGGGCCCAGTTCAATCCTTGGTCGGGGAACTAAGATCCCACAAGCTTCATGGCAAACTAAACAAAAACAGGAATCCACTAATAAACTTTCAAAAATCTTTTTAATTTGGGAGGTAATTAGGTCATAAAGGTGGTTCTCTCATAATGGGATTAGTGCCTTTATAAGAAGAGATTCTTCTCTCTCTCCCTCTCGTTCCTCCCCCTCCTCCCCTCCCCCTCTGATACAAGAAGACGGTGGTCTCCAAACCAGAAAGAGGGTCATCATCAGATCACTGACAGGTGTGACAGGTGTGTCTATCTTGGACTTCCCAACCTCCAAAGCTGTGAGAAGTAAATGTTGCCTAAACTTCCCAAACTACAGTAATATTTTATAGCAGCCCAAGCTAAGACAATCATTTTACCTAGGTGACTTATAAAACTCCTTCCATTCCAGCTCTAAACTTATGTCAAGAAGTTAAAATTGTTGATTTGTACAAGTGGCTTTAGTCCAACTCTACCACCTCACAGCAACAGCCAGCAGAAAGACTGAGTGGGTTTTGTTGTGACCATAATCACTATCATTATAGTAGTGGTCACTGACTAGAGAACCTTTGTATGTGACTAGTGGGAGAAAACCCAGAGTGGGATTGCTCAGACAATGCAGCACTGATTATCTCAATGGTATTTTATTACTTACCTTTCCTTCAATAAAGTTGTAAGTTTCAGCAGCTGATCTCCTTTTGAAGGCTCTTTCAGGTTTCTTTCATTCCTGACGAGCCTTTTGGTAGTAAAGGCGAAATTCTAAGTTATCTGAGCAACTCACCTCAGGTAACTGAGAGTGAAAGAGAAACAGGAAGTAATTATGATAAGAGCCAGAGACAACTGACTGAAAACAAGTCAATGTCTGTCCAGGACATTAATTTCTCCTAAAACTACTGCATAACTTTCCAGTTCATCCAGTATTTTATTTTATTTTTTTTTTTTTTTTTTTTTTGCAAGTTGCTTTATTTACAATGCCAACTTTAAAAGTCACTGAACTAAAATTAAGTGGACAATAAACTAGGCAGAAATTGCTTTACAAAAAGGGAAAGCCCAAAATGCCACTTTCTATAGGGAACCCACAGTTCAATTTTATTCAGAGCAAAGAAAAGAAACTTTCAATCATACTAGAAGAAACTGGGCCGTAAGTTTGGGAACTGTACTGAAACTACACATGCAATGAGGACAACATTCTGCTAATACAATTGACTTGCTGCTGCATTTGTTGACTGTTTTTCTAATATTAACAATTATAAACAAAGCAGTGCAACTAGTATTTGGAATAATCCTTACAGTGTTACAGCGTTAGACACGAAATTTCACTTCTCCTCACACCACTGGTTCTCTTTGCGTACCTGGGCTTCCTCTTCCTCAGTAAAATCATTTTTGATATTGAATGTCTTTCGAATCTCCTCAGGAGTTTTCCCCTTGATCATATTAGCAACAGTCTTGCAGGTAACATCAAGCAAACCTTTGATGTCTAAGTAGTTTGCTGCCTTTTTCAATATTGCTGCATTAACATTTGGCAAGGGGACTGGATCATCATCTCCTTCATCATCCATTCCTAAATCTTCCAACATAGTCTTGATGGTCACAGACTGTTTTGCAATTTCAACATCAACTTCAAATATCTCTCCATCAGAACTCTGCAGCTTAATTGAAGGCATGGTATTAGGTCTCAAAGAGATAGAAGGCCAGAGGCTGAAGTGAGCAGGGAGGCGTCGTCCAACTGCAAAACCTAAAAGCGAAGAACAAGGCCAATATCATCATCCAGTATTTTAACACAACATTTTACTCTGACGTGGTCCATTCTTATTATGTGACTAAAGAACTTCTGACTTCTCTGCTTTGTTTCTGCTGTTTCCCATAAAAGGAAATGGGGTGAGAAATGCTGAAATAGCTCCACCCAGATGGTTAAAGCAATACAGAGTTGGACAGAATTAAACTCACCTTAAAATAACTCCCTTGAACAAAATCCTGGAAGTGAGGTTGCTGGATCATATGGTAGTCCTATTTTCAATTTTTTGAGGACCCTCCATGCTGTTTTGCACAGCGGCTGCACCATTTTGCATTTTCACCAACAGTGCACAAGTGTTCCAATTTCTCCACAGCCTGGCCAACACTTGTCTTAAGGGGTTTTTTGGTTTTTCTTTTTTCTGGTTGTTTGTTTATGGTCTTTGGATAACTCATCTTAGTTTTTTAACACTTGTTATCTATTTATTACTCTTGATTGCACTGGATCTTCATTACTGTCCATGAACTTTTCTCTAGTGGCAGTGAGTGGTGGCTACTGTCCCTTGCGGTACACAGGCTTCTCATTGCATTGGCTTCTCTTGTTGCTGAAGCACAGGCTCTGGGAGCATGGGCTTCAGCAGTTGCAGCACTTGGGCTTCAGTAGCTGTGGTGCATGGGCTTAGTTGCTCCAAGGCATGTGAAATCTTCTCAGACCAGGGATGAAACTCATGTCCCCTGCACTGGCAGATGTATTCCTATCCATTGTACCATCAGGGAAGTCCTACTTGTTAGTTTTTGATAACAGCCATTCTAACAGGTGTGAGGTGCTTTGTGGTTTTGATTGCCAATTCCCAGATGATTAGAGATGCTGAGGATCTTTTCATGTAACTCTTGACCAAATCAGAATCTTGAGGAGATATTAGCACTCTGTATTCACTGCAGCACTATCCACAACAGCCAAATTGTGGAGACAAGTAAAATGACCATTGACAGACAAATGATTTTCTAAAATGTAATACACACACACAATGGAACATTATATAGCCTTAAAAAGGAAAGAATCTTGCCATATGCAACAACATGGATGAAACCTGAAGACATTTTGCTAAGTTAAATAAGCCAGCTGCTGCTGCTGCTGCTGCTAAGTCGCTTCAGTCGTGTCCAACTCTGTGCGACCCCACAGACGGCAGCCCACCAGGCTCCCCCGTCCCTGGGATTCTACAGGGGTACAAATACTGTGCAATTTCATTTACATGAGGTATCTAAAATAGTTAAACTTATGAAATGAAAAAACCGTGATTACCAGGAACTAGGGGAAGGGGAAATCAGTTGCTAGTCAATGGGTATAAAATTTCAGTTATACATGAGGATTGAATTCTCAAGATCTGTACAACACTGTGCCTGATAGGGAGCAATATTGTACTGTACACTAAAAATCTACTAAGAGTAAGATGACATGTTAAGTGTTCTTATCACTATATATATAATTAAATTATATAGCATATATTTATAATTTTTATTGGAGTGCAGTTGATTTACAATGTTACATTAGTTTTTTCTGTACAGCAAAGTGAATCAGTTACACATATACATATATCCACTCTTTTTAAGAATCTATTCCCATATAAATATATATGAGTGAGTGAGTGAAAGTCACTCAGTTGTGTCCAACTCTTTGAGACCCTGTGGACTATACAATCCATGGAATTCTCCAGGCAAGAATACTGGAGTGGGTAGCCTTTCCCTTCTCCAGAGGATCTTCCCAACCCAGGTCTCCCACATTGCAGGCGGATTCTTTACCAGCTGAGCCACAAGGGAAGTCCATAAATATATATACATGCATATATTTTTAAACTTGCTTGATATTGACATATTCTTTGAATGACATAGTGATCAAGAGTATTTATAATCTTTGGACCTTGAGCAAGTTATAAAACAAACCTGTGCCTCCATTTCTTTATCTATAAAATAGGGCAATAATAGTGCCTAAATGAGGATTAAGGGCTTGAAATTGTGAAGATCATGAGATAAGGAGTACATATGTGTGTTAGCTTTTATTGTTATTGCTGTGTTTACCCGGAGGAGTCATTACTAAGATAGAGAAATGTCTCTAAAAAAATTAAAAACTTCTCCAACTACCTGTGAGCAAAATTCCCACTTTTGTCTCCACTGAACACTATGCACCACTTCCAGTGCACCTGTGCTCTTATTAGAATTACTGATACAGGATATTACTCAGTGATACGTCATTACAAAGGCCTAACTTTTCTTTGCAGGCTTCCCAGGTACTGCTAGAGATAAAGAACCTGTGTGCCAATGCAGGAGATGGGGGTTCAATCCCTAGGTCAAAAAGATCCCCTGGAGGAGGAAATGGCAACCCACTCCAGTATTCTTCCCTGGAGAATCCCAAGGACCGGAGAGCCTGGTGGGTTACAGGCCATACTGTCACAAAGAGTCGGACATGGCTGAAGCGACTTAAAACACTTTTCTTTGCAGTGATCTTTCTGGTAAGGTCCAAAGGGCCCTGATGAGGCACAGTGAAGGTAATTTGACTGGCATTCCAGGATGGGTCAGGTAAAGTTGCTGAAGTGAGCAAAAAGAGAAGCATTCAGGGAACTCTTGGAACTTTAATGAAGCAGTTGGTGAAAGGGAAGAGGTGGTGAACTCTTTCTTCCTCTCCTTCCTTACCCCTGGGTCACAGAGGATAAGAAAGCAATTGGTTACAAGAAATGTTGAGATGCTTCTCTCTCGGCCTTCCAGAGTATTGTTTTTAAATGTAAAAATTTAAACTCCTAAAAAAAAAAATTTAAACTCCTACTTAAAAACCTTCAATGCCTGCCCATTTCACATAATCAGTTCAGTTCAGTCCAGTCGCTCAGTCGTGTCCAATTCATTGTGACCCCATGAATCGCATCATGCCAGGCCTCTCTATCCATCACCAACTCCCAGAGTTTACTCAAACTCATGTCCATCAAGTTGGTGATGCCATCCAGCCATCTCATCCTCTGTCATCCCCTTCTCCTCCTGCCCCCGATCCCTCCCAGCATCAGGGTCTTTTCCAATGAGTCAACTCTTCACATGAGGTGGCCAAAGTATTGGAGTTTCAGCTTCAGCATCAGTCCTTCCAATGAACACCCAGGACTAATTTCCTTTAGGATGGACTGGTTGGATCTCCTTGCAGTCCAAGGGACTCTCAAGAGTCTTCTCCAACACCACAGTTCAAAAGCATCAATTCTTCGACGCTCAGTTTTCTTCAAAGCCCAACTCTCACATCCATACATGACCACTGGAAAAACCATAGCCTTGACTAGACGGACCTTTGTTGACAAAGCAATGTCTCTGCTTTTCCATATGCTGTCTAGGTTGGTCATAACTTTCCTTCCAAGGAGTAAGCGTCTTTTAATTTCATGGCTGCAATCACCATCTGCAGTGATTTTGGAGCCCCAAAAAATAAAGTCTGACAATGTTTCCACTGTTTCCCCATCTATTTCCCATGAAGTGATGGGACCAGATGCCACAATCTTAGTTTTCTGAATGTTGAGCTTTAAGCCAACTTTTTCACTCTCCTCTTTCACTTTCAGCAAGAAGCTTTTTAGGTCCTCTTCACTTTCTGCCATAAGGGTAGTGTCATTTGCATATCTGAGGTTATTTATATTTCTCCTGGCAATCTTGATTCCAGCTTGTGCTTCTTCCAGCCCAGCATAAGGTTACAGCGTGTTAAATTTATACATAATGCCCTGGACCAATATCTTGGAATGTGTATATGGGGGAAAGAATCTGACATGATGAAGGTAGAGGGCCCCTATATGGGCTTATGGGAACACTGCAGAAAGGACAAACCACCCCTCACCAAATTACAGCCTGGGGTTTTCTCATTTCCTCTCAAAATCCTCACATTTCCTCCTCCCGGCTCATTTTCCATGCCCAAGGGGACTTGGTCCTCTCACAGCAAAGCTAGCTAGAACTTGTGTCGAGTCAGTCCCAGTTCCTCTTCTTTCTGACCTCAATGAAAACCTGTGTCCCAAGCCAGAGTGCCTTCTATGAAACCTCACCTGAGGCAGGATGTGTACAGAAGCCCTTGATGTACAAGCCATAAGGAAGCAATAGACCTTAGTGGTTAGGAGCAACGTCTTTGGAAACCCATAGGTCAGTGTTGGGGTGCTGACTTACCACTTCCAAGCTGTCACTATCTTACTAAACCTCAGTTTCTCATCTCTAAAATGATATAGGAGTACCTACTTGAGTTCTGCAATATGAATAATTAAATGTGGCACCTGACAATAGTGACAGCTCAAAAATGTTGGCTATTATTATTTTTACCTATTGCAAGATGTCAATTATAAAGTTCAAGAACAAGCAAAGCTAATCAATGATCTGGAAATCAGAATAATGATTGCTTTTTAGAGGAACTAAATGAAAAGGGCAGACAAGAATCTTTCCCAGTACAATGTTTCATACCTTAACCAGGTGATGGGTACACTGGTGTTTGCATTTAGCAAAATGCATTAAGATGTACAATTATGATTACACATAATATTTTATGTAAACTGCTTCATAAATCACTGTTTAAAAAATACTATGGCAGAAAGTTCAGCCTTCTCAATATTCTAATTTTAGCATCTATGAGTAAAATAAGTCAACATTTTAAACTTCTTTTTGCTTCATATTTATCTTATTGCATTTCAGTAATCGTCCCTTTGTACTTCTCATGAAGAAAAAGAATAAGTTATTTGTAATGACTTGTAAGCAAATTTCTTCACTTACATAAAAGTTGCAGAAAGTCTCCAGAATTATAAAAAGTTGAAGAAGAGACATTTTGGTCTAATGTATGCAATCCAATATTGTATGATACCTTATGTCTAGGGAATAATTAGCAAAAAAAAATTACTTTTTATTACAAAGCACTAGGTCTTCAATAAATTCTTTATGATTCACTAAAATGTTGGCTATTATTAGTATTAAAACCTTAATTCTAAAAAAAAAAAAAAAACTTAATTCTAGAAGCTAGAAGTAAACCTCCTTCT